GGCACCTTAGTTTGATTGACAAGGTGTTTTCTGTGGGTGTTGTAGTCAAGACCCACAAGACCATTACAAGACTGTTGTAAGGCCAACACAAGACGTCCAGTTTGAATTCACATCTTAAACTATTCAAATGAACTGCTGCAAAACCATTCCTTTGTCATTATTCCCTGTGTTAACTTGAGAGATGACTGGTGTTGTAGATGCTCTTCACTACAACATTACTCTCCTTTCATCATGTAACACCCCTCCCCATGTATGTATCCTTGCCATAGGAAGCCAACCAGCATGGCTTGCACCGGTCCTTGTTTGAGCGCCTGTGTGGCTGGTTCCCATCGGGCGAGACGCACCCTTCGCCAATTTGCCGACTGAAGAACCAGCACCGCATGCACCCGGAAATCGCTGCCTTTCCGTCCAAACACTTCTATGGTGGCGGGCTGCTGATCGACAAGTAAGGGTTGAGAAATGGACACCGGTGGAACTCCTCTCTGTGGCTGTATTTGCCTTGCAGAAAGTCTGTGTGGAATTTGCCGCCCAAGTTTTGTGGCACTTGGTGGCCCAGTACCAGTGGAAATGCATCCACATGGCTTTTCACACTGTACTTTTCATTGAATCGTCATTAATCTTTTTATGTCTGATAATAAAAGTGCAAGTTCTTCAAAAGCACCCATGGCAATGTGGCTTGCAGCCTTAGGGATCCTGTAGAGAGAAGATGGTAAAGAAATGTTCAGTTTTTAACTCACAATGGAGGATGAGGGAATCCAACCCCCACATGAAAATCTTGGCTGTCTCATGCCTTTATAACAATTTTTTAAACACTATATCCGTAAAGACTTTCATTGTGAGCACCAGTACTTCTTCCAACTTTCATTTCAATTATTTGTGCTCATTTATTGTTTACACCCACATATTTGTTGGCCAACATGTTGTGAACATGTCATTTGGAAAACTTAACATTTGTAGCAGAATATCTTGGAAAAATGGCATTTTGCAAGGAATGGCATATTTTCGTAGAATTGGTGTCATAATAATTGTAACACATGATTGGAAAACCGGCTTAAAAGCTCAATATGAAAAAATGCATTGTAACGATTCCTGAGAAAACGTCTATGGTGTTTTTCTAGTTTTTCTAGGGCCATAGGTGGGAGGAAATTCCAGAGAAATATTGCGGGGAACCACCAGTATGTGGTTGGAAGCTTGATGCTCATGTCGGCCTGGTTGGTATTCAAACCCCAACCACACAGGTGGGAGGCAAGGAAAGAAGCTCTGTACCAACTTAACCCACCCCCTCCACCCACCCACCCCAAAGAAATAGGGTGAACAAACTTTGGATTGGATATTTTGACAAACTGTGTACAGTTCACGTACTGTGGTTCAAATTGGCCTCTTAACAAGAGGCAGTTGGACACTCAGAAGTTGATCATTCAGTAGTTGTTCATTACACTACCTTTCGCCTTTCCTCTCAGAATGTTACTTTCTCCGAGGTTTTCAGAAAACATTAAAACTTGAACATTGTATCCAGCATAGGCAAACTGAGCAATCTTTGCATAAAGGTTTATTTCATGTTTCAAATCACCCATAAGCCCATGTTAACTCTCTTCCTACAGTTCAAAATTTGCTATGTCTGTTTTTGTTATTTTCCGGGGATGCAGGAACATGGCAAAGAGAAGACAGTCTTTCTTTCTTCACCCGTACCTCATCTTCAATGTCATACAGAGCAAAGAAGTTAAAACTTCGCAAAGGTACAGTGACAGATGTGTAAAAGGCTGTGGCACACATTCTCCTAAAATTCCCAGTTTAACTCCTGCTTATTTTTCTGCACTGTGTTCAATTCAGCTCATTGTTTGGCTTAAATTTCAGTAAAGTTTAGAATTGGACTTTGTCCAGAAATTACTGTCTTGATACTATTGATACATATTTTGGAATGTATTTCTAGTTTTTTTCTGATATTAACCCTACCCTGTCGTATTCTTGCAAATCCATCAGGAGATTGAGGTTCATTTTCAATGATTGAGGAAGATACAGTCAGGGCACTTAAGTGCACTGGGGCTTCACATTCTTTGAAAGTCACAGTACAAACCTTGAACCGCGGGTTTCCTGCACAGTTCAGGTTTTTAGAGAATTCAGGAAGGTTTTAGCAAGAATACCCAGTAACTGGAGATAGAAATGCCTCTCTGAGTGACTGCTTTTTGTTTTGCATTGGGGAGTGAAATTTAATGACTAGTTTTTGTGTTCCTTTCCTGACGATGGTTGGGCAGATCCTATGCCAATGAGGCAGAACAAATCATGGTACTGAAACTGTACCACCGGATCTGCCGGGAAAAAATGAAGGACAAGGTCATTTTCTCGGAACCAACATCCATGGGGATCATCGTGCTGAGCAAGGACCAGGCGTCATACATCTCCCTCTGCCAGAAAAAAGCCGAGAAGGAACTGGCGGCATCCTCTCCTAAAAACTTCTTGTAAGGCCCTCCATTCATCCTTGCTAGACCACTGAGCTTGGTTCTAAATGCTGGCAATGAATCACTTCTGAACTTTTCCCCAATTAAGTGGTTGGATGTTTTGTCATGCCCTCTGTGTATTATCTTGAATGCCCAGTCCAAGATTCATGGTGATGTTTAAGCCAGACAGTCTTCTGCAGTTTGAGTCTTTCTGTCAATTGACCTTATTTGCAATTTGGCCAAATGGAATTTAAAGTGAAGTTACCTTTTTTTATTTTGGAACCTAAGAGTAAATGTGAAAGCAATGAACAAAAGTTCATTACAGATTCATTTCATTACGATGTTGAATGATTTCAAATATCAGATTCATTGTATCTTATTGTTTTAACAGCATTTCTCAAAAAGTAAAAGCAAGGTTCAGACTCCAACACAGTCTGGCACCACCCATTTGACAGATGACATTGTATGAAGTAGATTCAGGGAACACAATCAGAAATGGTGTTCTTTAAACCTAACCCTACATAATTAAAAAAATTACTACTTAGTAGTAAAGTGTAGCATGCAGTGCTGTTGCTTGTATGAGGACATGACCGTATTGTTCTCTGAAGCCATACAGTACAGTAGATAAGACAATGTACCATACAGTGCTGTGGCACTATGAAATGCATCCACGGTACTTGTGTCCCTCAGCTGGACACTATACCCTGTTCACTTCTTCCCACCTCTCGCACTAGAGCCATGCAACTTGGTCCTCAGATCGGGAGACTTCCGACATTGTACACGTATGTCTGCCGTTGCCAGTTGAAAAACATGTTGGTTTATTCCCAACGTTTCTGCTGCATGCCTTGTAATAAGATGTTGCAGTATTGTTCATGAATATTCGTGATTGCCTTTAACTGTTCAACCTCGCATGTGTAAGCATTTATCCACTGAGTTATATAGGGTGTTCCCAATTTTGATCAGAAACAGCTAATGTTTTCATTATGATTTTCCCCCTTTTTTTCTTCCACCAACATCCGTATGTTTTGTGCACATTTTTTCACTCTTGATAGCTCTGTTGGAACTTCTCTCTATGGGAACAGCTCTGTGTTTGTTCAGTCACAACCAGCTTGTCTAGTTTCCTCCCTTTTGTGACCATCTATTCACACAGATTTCCGTCTGTAGAAATATCAACACCAGATCAATTTCAAGGCCGTGAGAAGGATGTAATAATAATAAGTTGTGTCCGCACTCAGGGATCGTCTGACCATTCAGGGTAAGTGACAGTGGCACTGAATTACCTATGGGAGTCTGGGCGCTTGAAAGTGTTTATTTCTTGAAGGGAGGAAAACCTCAGAATCTAGAAAAAACACACATCGGAAAATCAATGACCAACTCGCATGTAGTCAGTGCCCGGAATCAAACCCAAGCCACAGTGGTGAGAGGCGAGTGCTTTATGCACTGGCCACGTGCGCCATCAGTAATAAATTAATAGAGTTTTAAAAAGCCCTGTGTTAAAAAAGTCAACCTGCTTTTCTACCTTTGTTCCCCATTTTCTCTTCAGATCGTCCTGCAGTTTTTCTTCCAACTTCTTCAGTGATGGAAGAAAGATAAACTTCCTCCTGACCAGGGCGCGGTACTCGCTCTTCATTGTAGGCAACCTTTCATTTCTCCAGGTGAGGAAAAACCTTCTGTGATTGAGTTTGAAGGACACAGCTTGAGTTGCCGTAGCATCGTGCTCAAGCTAGATTTTTTGAAGTTGTTTGGAGGTAGCAGTATTTATCCATGAGATCTTATTGATGCTTTGATGTGTATCCCATGAAATGACAAAACAAGTCTGGAGGACTTGTGTCACTTATGAGTTGTGGGGCTTCAGTCAAGTCCACTACAGGCCATAACCACTCCACACCACGCCATGCCACCCCACATCACCCACCCTCCTCTCCACTTCACCCCACCCTCCTCTCCACTTCACCCCACGCCACCACTACCCTACCCCTATTACGGGTCATTCAGTCATAAGCCAAGTCAACAGCTGTTCATTCCCTATCCAAATTCATCCATTACTTGTTGCCAACAACTTGCGGGCACTGTTATAAGTATAAGTTGCAGTCTTCCCACAATGTAGCAGTCGGTTTGTTTACACTTGACCCCTACTGTTATTTGTTTGGGCCAGGCTGGCTACTCCAGGACATCTGTAGTTCTTGTTGCACTGTCTACTGTAATGTAATGCATATATATCGCTTATAAGACTGACTAAGCAGCTGGTTTATAATGCTTTGTAGATATTTTCTGGAAGAACATTTATCCAATGTTGTTTTTCCTGGTAATAAAAGGCTTCTAAGTGTAATTGCTGTTTGCCGATGTCTTCTTCAAAGTTTATCTTTTGCTTTAGTTTTCTTCCGCCTTAGCTTTGGTTGATAGTAACAATTTAGCAACAAAGTGAAATAAAAGAAAAATAAATCCACAAAGTTTGTACCTATCAATATAAATATGCATGTGTAATTTGGGTAGTCTATGGCACTCTTCCTACCCAAACAGTCACTACATATGCAAATTTCCCATGCGCCTATTATTCATTCGCTGAAAAGATTTGATCACCCGTGGTGCACCTTGGCTTCCCACTATGCAGCCCGGCCTAGTCGCCATGATCATCTTTCTTTCTCACGTTTCCTTCCTTTGTAAATGAAGTATAATCTGGATTTTATCCATTTATTGATAGGAGTGTTCTTTTCGTGCATATTTTTGTGTTCTTTCTTATTTGTGCACCCTGCAAGTGTTTGCCATCGGTACTGCGAGGTTCGTTCCAGCTGCGCTGTGTCTACCCTACCAGTGAATTATATACCTTAGCTGGTTGAATTCAGGGAGTCACAGTCAGGATTTGTCATACTCCTGTGTCTTCTCCGGCTACCAAGACGAGGAAAAGGCCTTGCCGTCATCCAGGGGGTTCCAGTCAGGATCTCCATTACTTGTCGCTTTGGCGTTAGACTGCCATCAACCTCCACTGCCCTGGACCCGATTCTGGCGGACAAGGCCCTTCCGCTCTCTCTGGCCGTGAGCCGTGATTACATTGGGTGGGGTTCCGCACGGGAATCGCACCAGCCGGGCGTACTCTCGCGGGAACAGGCCACTCCCCATGGGACTGCATATGGCTCTGAATGAGGCACTGCCCTGTCCCCGATTGGGCAACCAGCATTGTCTTCTACAAGTTGATTCCATCAGCGCCCTCACTCCGTCCGATTGCTGCCTCTGTCTTCTTCAGTGAGACATGATTCAAGTGCTCGGCCTGCTGTTAGCTGCTTCGCCAGAGGAGGACATCAGTCACGAGTTGTTTAAACAACATGGCATGACTGGAATCTTCCAGGCCAATTTTTCCAAAAGTCCTTCTTATTCTAGTCTCTCTAGACAGAATTTGGCACAAGTCCAAGTCTGCACCAGCCTGATGGTCCTCCGCTTAACCACCAGCCAATCTATGGGGCACCCTTGGCTCTTGACTATTGCACGGCCTTACTTCAGTTGAAGCAAAGTGACCGTGTCTTTGGTTGAAGATGACACTAATTTCATCGGCATCCTCACCACCTATGGGATGTTCCAGATTCTGGATCCTCTGTCAGCCTCCCCTCCAGAGGAAGATACTGACCACACCCGTGCCAGTCAACCAACTGCCCCACATCTTCAGATACTCTTGCCATGGGGCTCCAATTTGTGAAGTAGGCTCTTGAGTTAGCGGACCGCTCCATCTTGTAATCCGGAGCAGCCCTGGTGTATATAATGTTGGACGTCTTCTCATCACCTTCCCTTTGTCTAAGGCTTGCAAGAAGAATGTTTCAGAGACAACTACACTGTTGAATACAGTGGAACACTGTTATAACAAGGTCCTTGGAACTTCACAAAATCTATTTACTGTGACTGTTACGAGGTCTTTAAAAATTAGGCCTGCTGTGAGTCATCAATTTTGTAGAGCTTTCTTTTCCGATAATGTTCAGCGTGATTGAAACAAAGAGAGAGAATTCTGTCAGGTCCTATTCATTTCAGTATGATTTCGAACATCGAAGTGGTTTTTTGTCTGCGGAGATCTATTCCTTGAGCGGAAAATACTAGCAATTTCCTCCAATCAAGGTTAACATGCACTGGAATGAGGAGTACTCTTGGAGCGAGTTGCTATAGATGCTCCTTCAGTTATTTAGGTGTTATACACTGCCGCTAAAGATAGCTTATGCATCCGACTTAGCAAGCCTTTTTGTTAAGAACTCCTTGCTCGATAAAGACTGACACCAACTTTATTTAGGTTACATGAGATCTTTGTCCCTGACCTATTTCATTTCTTCCCCTCTTATCGAGGTAAATTCCTTGGATGGGAAAGGAGAGTTCTCCTTTCTGCCCAGACCTCACTACAGTCATGCTAAAGACTCTGAATGATAATGTCATCTCCGTCTTTGAATATGTCTTGCGGCTTTCGTGCCTCTTTTTTTTCTCTCTGCCAACCAAAGCCATATTAACAGAAAGGACAAGGGATCATGCAGTTGACCAGCAGACGATCCACATTGCAGGGTCTGACAATGTAATGGCAGATGCACTCTCCCTGGGATGATAGAGCTGCCTTACATCGATCTCTTTGCTTCCTTGAACAATGCTCAACTTTCTGGCGATGCTACAACCATGGCCGTCATCTGCCCACCTTTCAAATTTGTGACAGCAGATTTTAGCATTTTGTTATGTGCGTCGATAGTCGGGCTTTGGCTCCAGCTAACGCTCCTGTGAGTGCTATTACAGACTTCCTTATGTATTTCTTTCATTTGGAGCTACAAGTATCTACAACTCATATCTACAGGTCAGCCCTAGCTGCCATACATTTTGGTTTCAAAATCGGTTCAATTGCCCTTAACAACATGACATTCCATCACCTTTTGTATGATATGCTTATCCAGTGTTCCTTTCATCGTTACACTCTCCATCTCCTTACATCCTAGAGTGGATGCGGATAAACTTTGGGGCCCTGTTCCTGAAGTGGTATCTGACTAAAATGATAGCATGAGAGGGACAATATTAATCCGTCGCTTATCACTTTCATGAGACCACACTGTCCAGCGGTGTCAGTACACTACTGTCCGCTGGACGGCTTCAGCCCTTAGATTTGCTAATCTAGTCTGGCCGTCAAGCTCTGATGAACATAGTCAACACTACATCAGGGTTCATGATGTAAGAGCAGTATCTGCATCCTGGTCTCGCTCTTGAAATATTTCCATTGCAGACATCTGCAAAGCTGCATGTTGGAAGTCTCCCTTTACCTCCTGCAACTTGAGGGATGTCCTGCAGAGTGACATCGCAAATGGCAAGGCAATCCTACTGTCCGCAGCACAGAGGTCAAAGGGACCTCCTGTAGGACGGACGACAAGTCATTATGAAGTTCCTTTACTATTTCTTTAATTTATACATTTATCCTTGTTTATATGTAAGAGTGTATTCTTGGCATTACATGTGTCACTGCCAACCCCCCACCTAGACCAGTACTACTCTGCATACGAAGTGACTGTTTGGGTAGGTAGAGCGCCGTAGACTCCTTCCCCACTTTAAGTGTGGGTCGGACCTTTTGAGCCACTTTCGAAAAGGACAATCATGGCGGTAAGGCTGCGCTGCATTGTGGGAGGTCAAGGTGCATCACAGATGATCAAATATTCTCAGCGATTGAATAATAGGCGCATGGGAAATTTGCATATGTAGTGACTGTTTGGGTAGGTATTCTCTAGTAGACCCGACCCACGCTTTGTGTGGGGAAGGAAAGAAATGTTTTTTTTTTCTTTTTTCACCTCCTCTGACTACAGTCAGATCAAACAGATCAATCAGTTGAGACTATGGTGCACTTAAGGTGGCAGGTGTGGAGCCATTCAAGTTCATTCCTCGAGAAACCACAAACCACTCTTGTGGGACAGCCGGTTGTGGGCCCTCTATAGGCCAAAAGTAAACAGTCATTTCATGATTGATTAGTTGCTAATTATGACAATTTGTCCAGAACTCATTTTGACAAATGTAGAGTTTCCTGAGGATAAAGTAAGTGGTTCCATCCATCCCGGTCAAATTTTGAGATTTCTACTTGTGACTGGCCTTGAGATGGAACTTTGGATAGGACTTGCAAGGAACTGGACCACAGTTGTCTTGAGAGGTGGCTCAGTTGTACATGATGTAGGTGAAACTCAATTAAGTATGAGGCCAGCTGCTACAGTGGAACGCCGCTATAACGAACACGACAGGGTCCACACTAAATGTTGGGTACTGCGGTCGTTCCGTATGGCGAAATTAACTGCCGAACGTTTTGTTGCCATGTTGAATAGCACCCTCTCTTGTCTAACTGAAGTGCATCCTCTTGTGATACGATCTGTGATGTTTTGCCATTGCGTTCATGTTTGAAGTTTCTAAAAATGTATCTGTTAATTAGTTTTGTTTTTTAATTAAATCTTGAGTTACAAAATTGATGTTTAGTTTATCCTAAAAGTCTTGAAGCTACCACTCAGGATTGATCTCCGATGCATGCTGTGGCGAATCTCTGTTGATTTGTAACTACATAATGTTCGGTAGGTTTTGTGCACAAAATGTTGGGAGTTAAGGACAATGTTCGGTACAGCCAAATGTTTGGTATGGCAGTGTTCGGTGTAGGGAGGTTCCACGAGCCCCGGGCAACTTGTAACGTGTTGTTTGGACAGTTTAAGTCTGAATGTGATGTTCATTAGAGTCAGGTTAGTGGCAGTGCAGTGTTCTGTGTACATGTAGTGATCGTCTGATATTCATTATGTCTAACCATCCTGAAACAAGAATTGTGGATTTTTTTCTCTCCCCCTCCAGAGCCAGAAGGAGTGGTGGGCTGTGGTGGCAGATGCCGACAAGCGGAAGTGCGTCATCCATGTTCCAAGGAAGCTGTACGAAAAGGCAGCCCGGTGCTGCGTCAGACGGCCCAGCAGCGCACCTCCCGGCAGTGCCCAGTGCGACAGGCCCACCCAGGGGCTGACCACACAAACCTGCAAAAGCTTGGGCAGTCCTAAACACACGGTAGAGGGTTCCGTTACTGTTCCCAGCAACAGAATTGGAGACAGCAAACGAGACCATGTACAGAGTCCTGTGGTTGAGAAGCCCTTTGCATCATCCTCGCAAGGATCAGCAACCGTTGACAAGACCACTGGTTAAGTCGTCTGCATGCCTTTTGTTTCTTTTTTCCCCCGATTTCTCATCATGCTCTCTTGGTGTTTTGATCCATGTTGATTTTTGGAGACATTTGTTGCAACACATGTCCAATTTGGGTAGCAAATTGGACATGTGTTTTTTTTTTGGGGGGTAGCATTTATAGAATACCTCTGTTATTTGATAATGTGCTCTGCTTTGGGGGCTCTTTTTTGGAGTGTGAGCTTCATGTATATGGATGTAAAATTCTATTTAAAATGTTTCAAATGCAGCCAATATTTGTGTTAATATTTCACTGTTTGAATGACTTCTTTGTCCGACAATCAGGTCACAGCCCTCCTTTTTTGTGTAATTTCATATAGTGATAATGAAAGAAATGTTCAGTGACATGTTCATTGAACGAATCATTAGATTATTTTTTTTGGTCTTGAAATGTTTTATATTCTTTTAGCAAGGACTATGGATCCACCAGCATCCCAAGCATCTCTAATGCAGGGACGTGTTCAGGACCCCATTTTGAATGAAAAGGAAAGTGAGAAACCAGCAGTGAAGTCCTGCCTGTCCACTCCAAAGGTCAAGAAAATCACAAACAGGGTGACCTTCCAACAGTCGGAGGCCTTGGCCAGCCACACACTACTTCCGAGACCAATGCAGAGCAGTTCGGGAGCGCAGTCGCAGGGGGGACAGCAGAACCCCTATAAAATGGCATCCCGATCACCAGAGAGAAGCCAGACAGCAAAGCGATCTCCCAAACTACCTCAGTACCGACACATCCTGAAGAAAAGACTTATGCCATGGTGGAGCCCTCAAAGGTCTCCGCAGAGCAGCCCTCCTGCAACCAAGCTGACTCCGCCATACAAGAGCAGACCTGCAAGCCGTGGAGAAGCCCTTAAATCTGCTTTAGGAAGCCTTTTAACCAGCTTGAGGGCCCAAACTGGCCTTGTCACAGACCCTCAACAAGGCTCTGGCAGCAGCAGTCATTTTCAGGATTCACTTGCCCCAGTCACAGCAGACAGTAGGGCATCAGTTGGAACGGCGAGACCATCCAGAGAAGAAGGGATAACAACTCCGAGGAAGACTGGAATTACCAGAGAAAGGCTCAGACACCAAGAAGAATGCAGTGCCCAGCAGCCGACAACCTCTTTAGGAGATGACAGCTCAAATCAGAGACTCTCCACCCAGAATGAAGATGATCAGTTAAGGATCACTGTGGAAAATGTCAAGCGTAACCAGGGCAAGGAGAAGAGGACCATGGCCCTAGCTGGCCTCCAGCCGGATCCCAGGCTTGCCCGAAGACGCCGGAGTACAAATTCTGGAGCAGAACCTCCCGAAACACAGTCGGGGAACTCTAACAGATGCGACTATCCTCAGCGTGACAGATGCCTCCCAGGCATCGACTCGGAGTAGACGAGGCTCTTCCGGAGGGGTGCAAGAATTAAAATTACTGCTTCCTTCATAGTTCAATAACCAATTAAAATCTCTCTCTTTTAGTGCACCTAGAGACAGTTCTGGAGATTGTGAGTGGTTACATTTACCCAGGAAATGTCTTTCACAGGGTCTCTATCGCATTGTAAATTCTCCCTGATCCTTCAAAAGCTATCAGAGTTTGGAGGATCATGCAAGATTGAAGATGGAGTCCAGCCATAGTCATTCAACACTGCGCTCTTAAGCCAGGCCAGGTCTAAAGTATGCTATATTTGGCTGAAGCAATTGTTGCCACTCGTGTGTCTATGATGTGGTTTTTGGCACTTTGTACTGTACATTGTGGTTTTTGCATTGCATCTTTGGGGGTATGGCTCCGTGTTGTTTTTTTTGCCACTGTGTAGCTATGAATCGAGTATTTTTTTTTACCAAGGTGTGTTAAGAACAAATGCCTTCATGTTGTTTCCTTGCCGTTTAAACCTCCAGTTTTACTGCAAAACCTTTCTGAAAGCATTGCAGGCATTAGTGACCAGTACTGATAATTAAGTTGGATTAACCATGAATTTTAAGGGATTCACTGTGTTCATTGAACAAATATTTTTTTAAGTAACCTGTGACTCTTATTTTATGTACATTTTGAACAAAAGGTAGTGGTCATCACCAGTGAATATTTAGTGTCACAGAGTTTGTTTCTGCATTCAATTGGGGACCCTGAACAATAGAGGACAATAAGGTCCCCGATTGACAACTGTGTTCAAAACATATGGGTGGTCTT